AAGGCTGGTGGTTCAAACCCACCAGCCACTTCTTGGAAGGAAGGTTGGGCAATCTACTTCCGTAGTGATACTGCCTTGGAAACCCAAGGAGGGGTCACTATGAGTCAGGTCTGACTCAATGGTACATAACAACAAGAAAAACAACATACTTCAAATAATAAGGGAGGGATATGGAAAACAATTAATTTAAAAAACAGAGAAGGAAATAGGCTTCTAAATCATTACCTATTTTAATAAAACTATTTCTGGTTAATTTTCTCACCTGAAAAAAATGTTATTAGACTATCTCTGACACCTATTTTATAATATTCTCAATGGTTCTGTTTGGAGTGTCAAATTAGTAACATGTAGTTTGGGCAAGTCTAATTGCTCAAAGAACCTGCTTACCTTTCACTTTCATCAAAACAGCTACCTTCTGGTATTGTTGGCAACTCAGGAACACTATAGTAGCTGTTGTGGAGATTCTGGGCTGTGCGCCTTGAAACAATCCAAACTAGCTTCTTGTGATCTGGTTTGCAACATTCAGGAGAAGAATATTCGGCTAGGCATTTAGAAACCAACTCCCTCCAATAAAAGAATTCGGTGTCATTAACCTGAAGAAAAATATTTTAATAAAGAGGTTATGGCAGTGATTCTCGAACCTTGCTGTATCTTGGAATCACCCAGGGATCCTTAAAAAAAATACTGATGTCTGGTTCCCACTCCAGATGTTTTTGTTGATGAATCAATTTTTGACTCATAGCAATTCCATGCTGACATAGTAGAACTGCCCCATATGATTTTCTAGGCTGTAATGTTTACAGGAGGAGCTCTGGTAGCATAGTGCCTAAGGCACTTGACCGCTAACCAGGAGGCTGGCGATTCAAACCCACCAGCCACTCCTCGGAAGAAAGGTTGGACAATCTACTTCCATAGTGATACTGCCTTGGATACCCAAGGAGAGGGGTCACTATAAGTCGGGTCTGATTCGACAGCACGTAACAACAACAACAACAACAACAATCTTTACAGGAGCAGAGCACCAGGTTTTTCTCCCATGGAGCAGCAGGGTGGCTTCCAACCACCAGCCTTTCAGTTAGTAGCCAAGCATTTAATCATTGAGCCACCAGGGCTCCTTCTACTGATTTAACTGATATGGTGCAATATTGGCATCAAGATTTTTTCAAACTCCCAAACTTAACCTGATTTATGGAAAGAGCACCATAGGTATAAATAATTAACATAGGATTCAATACATAGAAAGCTTTGCTCTCCCAGAATACACACTGACCTAAAAACATGCTAGGACTATCCAGTCTAGTCCTTACTAGTCCTGATGCAAAAGAACTTAACATAATTTAGGTTTCTATAGTAAAACATTATTGGATTATAATAACATGCATTTGTATTATGATACCAGATACATATTAATGAAAAAAATTATCAAGATGAGTGAAAAGAAATTTGCCATAAAAGATATAGTTTCTCTATAGGGAGTACGGGAGCTCTGGTAGCATAGTGGATAAGACACTTGACGGCTCACCAGACGGCTGGCGGTTCAAACCCACCAGCCACTCCTCGGAAGGAAGGTTGGGCAATCCTACTTCCGTAGTGATACTGCCTCGGAAACCC